TAATAAAGTACAATAATAAAATTTTATTATGGGACCAATAATCTATATTTTCGATTGATGATGATTATTATATAAAATATATATCATTATTGACGAGATTATTATTTATTGATCCGATACTTTTCGAAGAAGATTGCTAAGTTGAAGTATTTTGCAGAATTAGTCTTTCTCTGCTCCTCTCTCTCTCTCTCTCTCTCTCTCTCTCTCTCTCGTTTCTCCCCTCCCCTTCTATGAGTTTCAACGCAATCGTGGGTATTATTCTACCTGGCACTTCGGGATATTTAAATTGGAATTACTTTTCTCATTATAAGCCATCCAAGGGGAAAATCTCTCTCTCTCTCTTTCTCTCTCTCTCTTTTTTTCTTTCTTTTTTATTCTTCTTCTTATTCTTGTTCTTGTTCTTATTCCTCTTTTTCTCTTCTTTTTCCTCTACCTTCTTCTCTTCTTTCTCCTTCTCGGCTTACCTTTACTATTTTCATCGCGAAAAAGTTTATCTGTGACAGGTGACAACAAGGAAAGTCGGGATCTTCTTCTTGGTACATTAAGAGATGCCTGCCCGTTCTTCAGTAATTATTCTAGCTTCTAACATTTTTTATTATATGAGAAGAAGAAGAGATGCGTCCATAAGGATTACCCTACTATCCCTCTCAATTCCTAGCAATATTTTTTAACCGCAAAAGTAATATTCTTATTCCGACATTGCATATTTTACTTCATCTGATATATATATTTATATTCGAATATAAGTGACTTTATTTCTTTTTTTATTAATAATAGACAAGTTTTTGTATACAATTGTTTTCTCGTGAATTTGTTTCTCTTCTTTTTTTTTTATTTTCTTTCTCTCTAAAAACAATATTCTTTTATCAATATTACTTGCGACAGGTGGATTATAGTTCGTTGGATATAAGGATTTATAATATCAATTATTTGAAAGGTATTAACGATAATATTTGGCAAATAATTATTTATACGTACAAGTTATTTTGAGAGAACAAGTGACAGAGTAAGCGTACAAAATTTATTCGCAGTATAAATTTTGCGGTGAAATATTTTTAGATATAGCGAAACAATATTTGATATCGATAGGTAAATACTTTCAAATTAAAAAAATCAATTTCTATGGATTCAACGGATAAGAAATTTAAGGATAATTGTTTATTTACTTATTTCTCTCTCTCTCGAGCTGAACTTGGATAATGCAATCATCGAAATATATATCGAAATATTTAATAACAATTAAATAGTTACGTATAATATAAAAATTAGAAGGTGTCTTTCGATGTTTCTTATATATTTTCTTCATCTTCTTCTTTTTCTTATCGTTAGGTTCTCAATGACGTGTAGAAGCTGATGGTAAAAGTGCATTACACGTTATTTTGGCAGGTTGATCCTATTATACAAGTACAAACGCTTCATATAGTGGTTAGTGGTAAAGCGTGTTACCTAGTCCGTTGGATAATATTAATGATCCTTTATAAGCACCATGATAATGAATCATAGTTACCCCGAGGGTAGTGTGTCTCTGTCAAGTAAGAGCGCTCTTATGGACGGAGTTTCCAATTTGAAAGCTATATTCTATAGCTGTTTTTGCTAAACTTTTTACTAGAAATCTCTTTCTCATAAAGTATACGCTCGATCGATATTTTAAATATCGACTATACGTCATATCTCGTATTAATAATTTTTTCTTTAATTTTTTTTTTCCCCCTAGATTATATTATTTTCCGCAAAGTTAAGATTTTTAAATTATAATTTTATATGGAGATATATAAATATATTTCCTTAATACCACATCGCAGGAATTTGTATATTTTATCGAAATAAAAAATCAAATTTTTTCTCTTGGGAAATTATCTTCTAAGATCAGAAAAATAATAATAAAGAGGAAAAAAAAACAGGCAAATCAGGAACAGAAAAAACCTGGGATACCATCTTGTATATTATATATTACGTACTATTTACTATGAAAAAAATGTTGATTTCAATGTTAGGGAAAGATCAAAAAATTTGACCGATTAGGAAAGTTGTAACAGTAGAGAGAAAGCAATTCCCTTTTCTGGCAGATTTCTTTACACACATGGATATGTAATATTATGTATCTATGTGTGTGTGCGCGCGCGCGCGTGTGTGTGTGTATCTACATACACATTAGCGACATTTTAAAAACTCATGTCTTTCCGCGCATTTTCCTACTTCGCGGACGCGGACTTGAGCTCAATCCTTTGAATGCATCTGTCGCCAACAGTTTCCCTATTTTTAATTGAATTTTTTCATTCGCGCAGGAGAAAGTAATTTATCTTTGTGTTATCTTCGAGCAGAATCGGGGATATCGATTTGAAAGAAAGTTTAAGCTGAGTGTCTACTCCAGATGACTAGTCCAACTGGCCGATAGGTGTATCCTCGAACACGATAAAGTTAATTACTCCGAATCATTGCCGAATATACCTATCTATTTTGTTCTCCCCCGTTATATTCTTTTTCTTTTTTTTATATTTCTAAAAGAAGAATAATGATTCTCATGTATATACCAATGTTCAATTTTCCAAGCTTATTAATAGATACAAATATTTCTTTCGTTTGAAAATTTGTTTATTTCCAATGCTATATGTAAATCTTTTGTTATATATATGGTTTCAGTTATTTTAGAATACATTTTTATAAAGTTTCCTATATAATTTTATTTTAACAAAATAAAATAATTTAATGTAAACGTATAATTCTAATAATAGGTTTGCTTAAAATCATTCTGGAGATTTCATCGAATTATTTATTAGAAGAATAAGGAGGAGAAAAAAAAAACGAAGAAGATCCGTAATCGATAGGGAATTTCTTATGTCTCCGTTCCGAATAACATGCATTAGCCTGTTCGTAAGATTAGAAAGGAGCAAGCGAATAAGACAAGAAGTAAGTAAGAAAAAAAGAGATAGAGAAATGAGGCTACATCTAGAAAAGATGGTAGAACAAAGAAGAAACCTTCGAAAACCTTTTGAACCTTCCGAACAGATAGAATTTAAGAGAAAGGACAGGAAGGATTAGCATTTATTTAGGTACGACAACTTCTTCTTCTTCTTATTTTTTTTGTTCTTCTTTTTTCCATCGGACAACGTAACGACGAAGGAGGAGGACAAGTCCGAAAACATTTGGTTAAACTTTAAATCTCCTTTCGAATAATACTTTGTTCCGGTTGTATTCGACGTCTCATCTCATTAAAGCGCAATGTCTCTGAGAATTTCTCAACCAACCCCCTCACCAACCAACCACCCTCACTTTCTCTCTCCCTTCCCTCTCTTCCCTTCTCTCTCACTTCTCTCTTTCTCTCTGATGCCTTTTCATTGGTTTACTTCGACGAATCTGAGAGAAAAAGAGTGAGAGAAACAGATAGAATAGTAGACACGCACATCTGGCACGTAGTAGAAAACTGAGAGAAGAAAGGACAGTCATATTCATTTCGTGTCTAATTTACTGCATAGCGATCCTCGTTTTGAACGTGATAGCAGTAGTATCCATGGTATATCGTAGAATGAACTTTATACTATACTTTCATATCTCTCTCTCTCTCTCTCTCTCTCTCTCTCTCCTTTTATATTTTTTTTTAATTTTCTTTTCTTTTTTAGTAATTTTTATTAAAAATCAGGCAGGAATTTTAGTTCCTACAAAAATGGAAATGTATCATTAT